ATGCTAACCCTTGGGCCGGGCATTTGGGGCATGAGAAGACCCTGTCAAGGATAACCCAGAGGTTCTTCTGGCCAGGGATTTATAGGGAAGTATGTGACTTTTGCGCCTCCTGTCCGGAATGCCAGAGGGCGGCACCAGCAGGCGTGGCACAAGCGCCCCTCATCCTGCTCCCAGTTATAGACGTCCCGTTTGAGCGTATAGCCCTCGATTTGGTTGGTCCCCTGGACGCCATGCACGCGGGATACCAATACATCATGGTGATAATAGATTATGCGACCCGTTACCCAAAGGCTGTGGCCCTGCGGAACACGAAGGCCCCCACCCTCACTAGGAGCTAGTGAAAATTTTCTCACGGGTAGGACTACCGAAGGAGATCTTGATGGACCAGAGGACAAACGTTACATCCCGGCTGATGAAAGAACTATGTCGGATGCTGGGGATCAAGCGGATCCGCACATCCGTGTACCACCCCCAGACCGACAGCCTGGTTGAGCGCTTCAACAAGACCCTGAAAGAGATGCTCCAGAGGTTCGTGAGAGGACCCCAGGGGATGGGACGACCTCCTCCCCGCTCTACTATTCGCCGTTCGTGAGGTCCCACAATCAACCACGGGATTCTCGCCCTTTGAGCTGCTGTACGGCCGACAGCCCTGAGGGATCCTGGATCTTCTCAAGGAAGATTGGGAGGAACAAACTGCCGTGGTACTGCCCAGTATATACTGCAGCTGAGAGAGAAATTGAAACGGACCGGCGAATTCGCTCATGCGAACCTAATGCGGAGCCAGGAGAGACAAGCGCGATATTACGACCAGACAGCACGGACGAGGGAATTCCAACCAGGTGACCGGGTATTACTCCTCCTCCCAACCCCCAGCTCCAAGCTGACAGCCCCATGGCAAGGCCCGTTTGAGGTACTTTGCCGAGTCGGGGCCGTAGATTATGAGCTCCTCCTGTCCAGACGGTGGAGGAGCAAGCAAATCTTCCACGTGAACCTCCTGAAGAAGTGGAACGCAGCAGAGACCCTGCTAATCACCCCAGCACCCCTGGAGGACGATCTCGGACCCAAGGGGTTAAACGACCAGGAGGATTCAAACGTTGAGGTAGGCCCAGACCTAGTGGCCTCGCAACGGTAGCAGCTGGTGAATCTACTAAACCGGTACGGGGCCGTGCTCACGGCCAAGCCAGGACGCACCTCGCTGGGCTGCCACCGAATCACCACTGAGGCAGGTAAAGTGGTGCGAGAACCCCTCCGACTCTTACCCCGTAAGATATGGAAGACGGTGTGGGATGAGATACAACTGATGCGACAGTGGGGTGTGATCAAGGAGTTGCAAAGCGAATGGCGAAGTCCCATCATCCTGGTCCTGAAGTCGGATGGAACGACAAGATTCTGCATCAACTTTCGCCGGGTCAATGCTATATCACAATTCGACACCTACCCAATGCCCTGAGTTGATGAGCTCCTGGAGCAATTGGGGCGGGCCAAGTATCTGTCCACATTGGACTTAACAAAAGGGTACTGGCAGATCCCCCTGGCACCAGATGCGCGAGCGAAGACGGCTTTTTCTATCCCCTTTGGATTCTTCCAATTCAGGACCATGCCCTTCGGCCTCCGTGGAGCCGCAGCCACATTTCAAAGAGTGATGGACCGCCTGTTAGCCCCCTCCCAGACATTTGCTGCAGCCTACATCGATGACATTATCATCTACAGCGACAGCTGGGAGGACCACCTGAGCCATATCGACTCCATATTGAGGACCCTGGAGAGGGCAGGCTTCATGGCAAACCTGAAGAAGTGCCACCTGGCCAAAACGGAGGTGTCGTACTTAGGGTACACCGTGGGAGAGGGGAAACTAAGACCCCTGGTCAGCAAGGTACAAGCCCTCCGGGACTATACCGCCCCGAGGTCTAAGAAACAGGTGCGGCAGTTCTTTGGACTGGCTAGTTATCCCAATCTTTGCCACAATAGCCACACCACTGACGGAGCTCACAAAAAACTGCAAACCCACACGGGTGCAGTGGACCCCACAAGCTCAGCAGGCCTTCGAAAGGTTGAAGGCATGCCTGTCTAGTTCACCAGAGTTGGTGCAGCCCAATTTTGAAAACTCCTTTTTTTTTTTTTTTTTTTTCCTCTACACAGATGCCTCACAAGTAGGACTCGGGGCAGTCTTGGTGCAAGAATGCCAAGGGGCGGAGCACCCAATCCTGTATGCCAGCCAAAAACTCCTGCCCAGGGAATTGAACTATGTGACAGTCGAGAAGGAAGCGCTAGTGGTCAAGTGGGCAGTAGACTATTTAAGGTTCTACCTGTGGGGAAATAAATTCTATTTGATAACAGATCATGCCCCGCTCGTATGGCTTAATTTGATGAAGAACACGAACGCACGTCTAATGCAATGATACCTGGCTTTGCAGCCGTATAGTTTTGAGAAGTCACCTCCGGGTAAGACACCAGAACACTGACTTTCTCAAGAATATGGGACGGTGACGAGGAGAGGTACCTAAGGCCTCCGAGGGGGGAGGTGTGTGACAGACCGGCGGAGGCCCCCACTAGAAAGGGGCGGGCAGCGGCCACGGCCCCAGCAGAACGCCCGGGAGGGGCTATCTCGCCGGCACGCCGCTGGGAAGATGTGCCTGCCGAACGCGGCAGGGAGCGGAGTCCCGCTGCTGCGGGGAATAGGGCCGCCCGGTGGGCTGGGCGGGAAGTGCGCGGCCCTGGCAGAATATGCCGGGGCACGACTCCATCCCCTGCGTCCCAACATGGGGACGTCAGTGACGGCGGGGGCAGGAGACACGACGTGACCTCTGGCGGGAGGCTTAAAATGAGGCCGCAAGCCAAGGCCAGAGGAGGGACGTCCAAGTGACGACCCCTCCCCTCCCGGTGGAACCGGACGAGCGGGACTCCGGAGGACCAGAGACCCCGGCACAGCGGACGAGGAGGTGAGGACCAGCGGCTCAGACGTGGGGGCCATGGCCTCGGGGCCGTCTAGGAAGCAACCCGGGACAGGGCCCTTTTGGCGCACATGGGCTGACGCACTGCGGGTTGTAACCCCGTCAGCCAGGTAAGGGATCAGTACCCAAACCCTTAGGGTCCTGGGCTGGGACCCGGTGGAGAGGGAGGGCCCGGGTCCCCCTAGCTCCCCCAGCTCACCCCGTAGTGCAACCCCAACGGGGGCGAAAGATGCGTGAGGGATACGGGAGATCTCCCAAGCCGTGCGGTGGGGCTGTCGGATTGAGTCCCCCGGGAGGGCCCCGCCTCGCCCTCCCCCAGGGGGGTGGGAAGGGGCCGGCGGGAGCTCGCACCCATCAAGACCCTGTAAACCAAGAGGATAGACGGAGGGCTTGCTGGGCCGTGACCCCGAGGAGGGGGGGTACGGGCTCGTGCCCAGAACTATAACCATCACAGTGTTGAACTGAGCTCCATCTGCTACAGTGAAGTTTATTACATTAGCCCTTTGATATAATAAGGTGTGGGGGGGAGCAAACTCTAGATTTACCATCAGAATGAGAGCTTGGGAAATCTTAGCACTGCAAGTGGCTCTCTGTGTACTCTTGGGCAAGTCACTATGGCCATAAAACAAATATTTACTAACCTGGCTCTCAGAAGAAGTAAGGCTAACCTTGCTAATAATGTTCATGCTTAACTCCTGTGGATAAATACAAAATGATGAAGTTCAGGGCTCTAAAACTGACATTTTTGTTAAGTGCTATAGTTTTTCTGTTTCAGGACATGTTTTCAGTATGCACTTTTGATCATTCTCAGCTTGAAGAGCTCTGGTTCTTTACAGGGAAAAAAATCTATTTTCTGCATCAAAGTCCTCATTGTTCTCATTTTCGTAATACCATTAAAGAATGAAATACACGCAGTCCCCGGGTTACGTACAAGATAGGGATGGTAGGTTTGTTCTTAAGTTGAATCTGTATGTAAGTCGGAACTGACGTCAGCCACTGCTGAAACTGATCAGTTTCAACAGCAGCTGAATCTGGACGCCAGTTCTGACTTACATACGGATTCAACTTAAGAAACCCAGGCGTCCCCAAGTCAGCTGCTGCTGAAACTGATCAGCTGCTGATTCCAGGAAGCCCGGGGCAGAGCAACTCTGCCTCGGGCTTCCTGTAGTCAGCCCCTGGTCAGTTTCAGCAGCGGCTGAATCAGGACGCCTGGGGCAGAGCAGCTGGGGTGCTGCCGGGTTGGTACAGTAGCGCCGAGGAGCAGCGCTGCGGGACCAACCCAGCAGTGCCCCAGCTGCTCTACCCCAGGCGTAGGCAAGAAAAGCCTGGTCTGCTGGAGGAGAAGGGGGGGACACTAGCTGCACCCACCCCCAGCAGACCAGGGAGACGCGGGTGGTGGGACCGCCCGCGTCCTCCACGGCTTTGCTCTGTCTCCCTGGTCTGCTAACCAGGGAGCAGGGAGACGGGGAACAAAGCCTTGGAGCATGCCCACAGCGGGACAGCCCAGGCGCGCCCGGGCTGTCCCGCTGCGGGCGTGCTCCAAGGCTTTGCTCCACATCTCCCTGGTCTGCTGGGGGGGGCTCCCCCCCAGCAGACCAGGGAGACGTGGAGCAGCTTTTCTCACCCCGGAGGACGGGGGCGGCGGGACTGCAGCGTATCTGGGCGTCCCGCCGCTCCAATCCTCCGGGGCGAGAAAAGCCCCATTCGTAATTGCGGATCCGACATAAGTCGGATCCGCGTAACTCGGGGACTGCCTGTATGTACACATGCTATGTTCATCTAGAAAAACAGTGAAAGGAACTAAGTGTTAAAATAGTGTTACAAAGGTGGCATTCATTTAGAAAGATAGCACCTGTAACTTATGCAAATCAAGTTTCAGTCATTTAGGGGGGGACAAAGATAATAATGAATTCTGATGGTGGTTTGAATGGTGGTTGTGTTCATGTGAAAGAGAGAACATTCTGTGCATGAAAGTCTTCTGTGTTCAGCCAAAATGTACATGGAAGTAAAGTTCTGATCTTAACAATTTAAACATCAGTATACTTTACCTTTATCAGATCATGCCTACTGTCAGTCTTATTTGTCTGTGTTTATATTTTTCAGATTCAAGATGACTGGAAGTATGTCGCTATGGTAATTGATCGCATTTTTCTGTGGGTTTTTATTCTGGTATGTATTCTAGGAACAGCTGGATTGTTCTTACAACCATTAATGACTCGAGATGAAATATAGGATTTCATTATACTCTGTTGTAAAATAAATTTGTTTGCAGACCAAACTTTTTGTTTTTGTTACATTAGCTGCTTCTGTATATTCTTTTATTAGTAGAATAAATGATGTCTCTAGACCCATAAGCTTCACCAATCAAAGCTTAATTATATATCTGCAAAGCTTTAACTGGTTTTAAGATGTCATAGCAACTAATCTGAAGGTAATTTCTCCAGACTAGTGCCAGATATCCCTCACAAAAAATTGGAGAAAGTGCAGGTAGTGTATAAAAATTCAAATAAGTGTTTGTTTGAAAGAACGTACAATATAGACATTTCCAACGGAAACTGGAATCCACAGCATTTCCATGGGAATGTTTAGAGGGTTCATGGAAGGCTGAAGAATTTGGACCACATAACCTACTTCCAACACTCAGGTCCATTGCTACATCAAACATGCTTTTCAGTACAATTCTTCTGGAAGCAAGATCACAACCCTGAAACCACTCTATTGTATAGCCTTTTGGAAATTGTAGCTCTTGAATTTGTACTAATATGCAATTTGTTGATATATGATGTACCCACTATTATGCCAAGTTTGAGGGGAACAAGTAGTGTTAGAAAATGGAACAAAATGTCAGACCTAATTATATACACACAATCCCATCAGGGGAGTAAAACAGCCCACATGAAGAAATTAAGATACTACAGAATAGTTTTATTTCACATGCACTAGACAAATACTTTACTAAAAGGTAGGTAGATATAAACATTTCCTATAAAGTGCTTCTTGTACATACATGCCATGTTTTTACCAATAATTGTAGAGATAATTAAACAGGAGCATGAAGAGAAATATAGTACACTTAAGGAGTTGGGAAGGTGCGTGATAAAACTGAATTGTTTTCTGTTCAAAATTGGAAATATTATGGAAATGTGAAAGTAGATATAAAACTTTCTGAAAAATAAAGTTACATACTTGCAAAACATTTGTTATTCTGCTTGCGTGACAATCTGTATAGGGTAACATTAGCTGCTATTTGGTGCACTCAAAAGCCAGTAATTCACAGAAGCACAGAGCTAAGAGTAGAGGATCTATTAGAAATTATTTGGTTTTTAGAACACTCAAAGCAGAAATTTGACAATGAACTGTAAAGCCCAGTAGTTGGGGAGTGTCCCTATGTAATACAAACAAATTATGGAAGGAATTGAAAGTTTTTATCCATTTTGTAAAAAAAGTTATTTAAATCAGGTTTGAGGCCCAATCAGGATCTTGCCAATCAGCTTAAATGTAAATCTTACTATATATTTTTGAAATGTGTGTTCCTGTCTATCCATTCAAGAACTCCTAAATGATAGGAGCTAGGACCACCAATTTTCATATGCAGCTTCCACTTATCATAGTTTAAAGCAAGATAAGCAATTGAATGCACCTGGAATTAGATATGGTCTCATAAAATGGAAAGGGAGGGGTCTGGCAGGAGGGAGTTATACTGTAGAATGACCACAGGCCAAAGATAGGGACCAGGACAGTTATAACCCCATTGGCCTGCTAGGGGCAGGGGTAGAGAAAGGAGAGCTATCTACTGTATATTTCAGAGAGTTTGTCTATTTGTGTGTCTCTGGCTGGCTCCCAGCTAGGGGTCATGCACCACTACCCCTAGCTGTGGCCACTGCAACTGGAACTTCTCACTTGGCCCCAAGCTGCTGTGATGAGGGAGGGCTGGGGTTATCTGCTCTCCTCAGGGCAGCCTGCATACTGAACTCCTCATCCCCAGCTACAAGCCAGAACAATGCTCTAAATGAAGAAAAACAAAAAATGTACTTGCATTAAGAACCCTGAGCAGCACTACGTACATCTTCTAGTAGAGCATAATTTTCTTTTTAGTATTGAAGCAAAGGGGGGGGGGGGACATTTGCAGCAGGGAAGTTAGAAGAAGGTATCCAGTCCATAGTGTTGCTCTTATTTTTCATATAATATAACTGCAGTAACTAAACAATGTGTCTACTGCAACTGTAAGCAGAAGCAATGAAGAAAATATGAATGAGAGAGGAGATCCAAAACAAGTTCACAGACTAGAGTGAACTTTAATCCTGGGAAAGATAAAAACTGAATCATACCACAAGGCAAATCAGACACCCTTCATTTGAAAATGTGATGTCTAATAAAGTAACAACAAAGTAAGACAAGTAAATGTCTGATTGCACAAAGAAGAATCTAGATAAGTTAGAACAAAAAACAGCACTTTAAAGACTAACAAGATGGTTTATTAGGTGATGAGCTTTCGTGGGCCAGACCCACTTCCTCAGATCAAATCTGAGGTTTGATCTGAGGAAGTGGGTCTGGCCCACTAAAGCTCATCACCTAATAAACCATCTTGTTAGTCTTTAAGGTGCTACATTGTCCTGTTTTTTGTTTCAGCTACACCAGACTAACATGGCTACATTTCTATCACTATTCTAGATAAGTTAGAATTGTCTCAATCACATGTCCCAGTAAATTGAAGGCCAGAAAATAGCAGTGTGCAACACCCTCTAAAGTGTAAGCTACTCTGCAGATGAAATGTCAGAGCGTAACAAGCAGCTATATTGAAAATGTTCTAAATAATTCCTACTCACACTAAATATGAAGTAATTCCAACCAGTATGAAAGTCAGCATACTACCGTTTCAAATCGGGGGAAAACCAGGATTGCAGAGTCTCCTGGGATTGGCATCAATTTCCTGGTTACTATTGAAAAAACCCTGGAGATTTTAATAAGGTATTTTAAGAAAAAGAAATGTCATCTTGGGAAAAAAATCTCCCAGAACGGCTTCAGAGTTGGCAATTCTATTCTCCAAGGCTGCAGCTGCTATCATATACCATTAATACCAAAAGGACAGAATGTTGTAATTTTCACCAAAGAAACATCTTATTACACTGCTCTACAGCCAAAATGCTTCTGAAATAAATGTAGTCAAACTTTACTAATTCGGGGTCACTGAGAACGAAAATGATGCTTAAAATTGTTGATTGGCTCTAGTTTTCAAGATATGCTATTGGGTCAGTATATACGACCCTTGACTTGCGAATGGCGGAGGATAAGTGAGTTATAAAGGGAAGGGATCTCAATTTAAACCAGAAATGACTAAAATACATCTTTGACTGGATCTATGAATAAATCTATGACTGGGTTTGGACAGTACTTGCTTTTTAGGCAAAACAATGAATGATGCAATCTGAAGCTGGCATTGCGTCATATATTATATGAATTGCATCATGTTATTCCTAGAAGTCATGGATGATGCAATCATAACGAAGCTTACATCACTCTGCTGAACAAATTGCCCTATATCAGCTCTAGAAATCATACAGTGTTGTACTCTCTTATTTGTCAGTGTTTGATTTTGCAAAGGGACATATTTCTGTTTAGCCAAAGTGAGCAGAGATGCCTCATACTTGTGTGAACAGTGCAGATAACTTCTGATATGTTTGTGGTGAAGTGACTTTTGCATCACAAAAGCGCAGTATAATCACTATGGTTAAGAAAGCCTATCACCTTTATTTTGGCTGCAAAATTGGAGATCAGCACAAGAGGTGGGCTCCACACATATGCTGCAACACTTGTGCAACAAATCTTCTCCAGTGGTTGAACAGGAAAAGGAAATCTATGCCTTCTGCTGTGCCAATGGTTTGGAGAGAGCCAACAGATCATACCAGCAATTGTTACTTCTGCATGGTGCCTCCAGTTGGGAAAGATGTTCAAAGAAGAAAAAGTGGACTGTGAATTATCCAAACATTCTATCATCTATACGCCCAGTACCCCACGGAGAAGGACTGCCGGTTCCTGATGCACCAGAATCATTCTCACTTGAGTCAGATGAGGAAGAGGAAGAGGTCCTGAAACTTGTGGTCCTGAACCATCAATGTCACAGGACCCACATTTTCTCCCATCCTCCTCCTCTGAACCACACCTCATAACACAAGGTGAACTGAATGACCTTGTCAGGGATTTGGAACTACCCAAGAGTAAGGCAGAGCTGTTGGGCTCCAGACTACAGCAGTGGAATCTCCTGGCAGGTGATGTGAGGGTTTCCATGTTCCGTGACCGTCAAAAGGCTCTTGTCCTATTCTTCTTCATGGAAGGTGATCTTGTAGCCTGCAACAACATCGATGGTGTGAAGGCAGCCCTCAACATCGTTCACGATCCAGATGAGTGGAGACTGTTCATTGATTCATCGAAGACGAGTCTTAAAGCTTTTTTGCTGCATAATGGCAATGTTTTGCCATCAATTCCAGCTGGTCATGCAGTTCATATGAAGGAAACCTATGACAACATGAAACAACTTTTGAGGTGCATAAACTATGACCATCATCAATGGCAGATTTGTGGCGATTTGAAGGTTGTTGCTCTCTTGCTTGGTCTGCAGACTGGATACACAAAGTACTGCTGTTTTCTCTGCGAATGGGATAGTCGTGCAAGAGAATCCCACTACATCAAGATAGATTCGCCACTCCGACAGTCATTGGAGCCTGGGAGGAAAAGTGTTCAGCATCCACCACTTGTTGAATCAAGGAAGATTTTGTTACTACCCTTACACATCAAGCTGGGTCTGATGAAGAACTTTGTCAAGGTCATGGACAAAACACAAGCAGCTTTCAAGTACCTCTGTGGAAAATTTCCTAGGTTAAGTGAAGCTAAGATAAAGGAAGGTGTCTTTGTTGGTCCTCAGATTCGTGAACTTCTTCGAGATGATGCATTTGACCATGCACTGCGTGGCAAGGAAAAGACAGCATGGAAAGCCTTCCAGTTAGTGGCAATAAATTTTCTCGGAAACAAGAAGGCAGACAGGTTGTTGGTGGAAATCCTCCTCAAGGCATACAAAAGCCTTGGTTGCAACATGTCACCAAAGATACATTTTTTGCACTCATCTAGATTTTTTTCCACTGAACTGCGGAGCAGTGAGCGACGAGCACGGCGAGCGATTTCACCAG